CTCAGGTTTCACGGCTGAGAATAGGGATGAAAGTGAATGTGTTTTTGTATTAAGCAATACTCTGCCTCAGTGTTCATTATTTAAAATACTGCTGAAAGGTTTGCTCAGTGTTATAATATTGTCGTCCATCATATGGACCAACAGTCTAATAATCTGAAAACTGGTCCTTTTACTAACCCAACCCAGTTTCTTACGTTAATTTATCTTAACTACGTAAAATCACTTTAGAAACTAATGACGGGCACCATTTGAAAGCCAGATGCTTGAGTTTATTTGTTTTTGGATTTTCAGCTAAATAGTTTGATTTTGATTTTTGTATTTTTATTCGACATAACATCCATTTGTAATTCGTACCAAAGATGCTGACTGAAACGACATCGGTTGCTTTGAAACTGTTATTTTGAATATATTCTTTGTGAACATTCATTCAACTTAAACATTGTTTTATCGTAAATTAATATCAGCTGATAAAAGGCTGGAAGCAAGGCAGAAAGGCCGTTACATCCGAGATAAGAAATACTCAAAAGTAAACACATACGATCTTACTAGTGGACAGAAAACAGGACCTTCAGTGAGCATAGCACGATTAAACTCCCAAGTCGGAATTTAATTTCTTACTTGTGATATATTGAGTCGACAATAAGCACACAATTATTAGTTATGTTTCTCCGCAAGTTTCGTTCATTACAACGATAGCTTTCGCCACGAATAGACATAATCCGAACTGAGAATTATAAAATAATGTATTTGTAATTTAAGGGCCACTTAGGAGTTTACTAAAAGATACTTCATTGCTTAGGGAGTTGATTACAGAACCTTACCGTATAATGTATAGAGTATTAGACTAAGATTTTAGCTTACTAGGGAATTATTTCAATCAAATCATACATACATGGAACTCTTTCAAAATATCACTTTGTGATAAAAATACTTTTATAAGAGAAATTCAGTAAGTAACAAGTATTTTTTTTAAAAATCTCACTGTACAGGTTTCACTTTATTATTTCAGCCTAGTTACATACGTCAATGCTACATTATAAATGTTAGATATTATTATCACCTGTTAGTTAAAAACGTGTTGATTTCATACACGAATCAAATGACACGTTAAATAATGATAGAAGAATTAAAAATAGAAAAAATCTGTCTATGAGATATCACATTGTTAATAGTGATACAAATTTTAAGAAAGAAACACAAAGCATGTACATGACAATAAGAATAGATATAAAACATTTAAAATTTGTTCAATCAATTTGCAGTTACAGTTCAGTCTGACTAATAAAATTGGTTATCATTCGTATATTAAAAAAAAAAACAAATTAATTTTGCTTACATTTGAAATTACAGCCAATCGAACAAGAAACTCTAATATTCTAAACCAAACGCCTATATTTTGTGCTCGTTCGGCCAATGGTCTACGTGTTTCACAAACTAATTTTTTGGCATCTAAACGAATTTCAATCCAATTGTTAAGTAATGCAAAGAATGGGGCTAATGGAAAGGCAGCCACAAAGATTGTAATGAACCCGAATTGAAGAACTATAATAAAGTTCAATAGAATTTAGGTTATAGTTTTTGTTATGTATAGTATTATTTTTAGTATTCAAAATATTAAAGAATTCAATTTTATCTAACCAAGTAACCTATTCCGTATCTACTGATTAACTAGGATTTCTACAAAATGTCCAATGTAATTTATCTGTATTAATTAATTTAATGATATCCATTTATTTTACTGCTTTTCAGAACATAACTCCAACGAAGTATTTAAATGTACTGACTCACTTTTTTTTAGAACCTATGCTATTACTCTATTGGGTAATAAGAATAAGCAGAAATAATGTGTGAAACTGTAGATTTAAGTAGTCTATACAATATATAATCAATTTTGTGAATTTTACTTATAATTAATTACATTTCATAGGCATATTAGAAGCATTATTTTGGAGGAAATGTATTGTTAGGAAATATTGAATGACACTTGGATTTTATGCCAAATTGTTGAGATCACTCACTGATTTACGTTAGATAATCACTGAGAAACTGAAAGGACTGGATAGAAAATTCATTCAAATAAGGTAGTCCCGAAGAGTATATATCCATGATCCTTACAGTTCCTACAACTGAAGAACATATAGAACTCAAAATACTATCAACCGATATCGGAGTCAGAATCCTTAATACAAACGTCAAGACAATTCTGTTGAGCTGAAACATAGAGAACTACTACAACCATCATCAAAAATGTACAAATATTTATAAATATCTGTCTACAAATGACACTCCATATCTGTTGACTAGACGCTATCAACAACAACCTGCTGTGGCGGAGAACAAATCAGACATAGAGGAAATTAAGATAAGACGCTGAAGGTGGATAGGACACACATTGTGGAAGTCATCAAACTGAGTCACGAAGCAAATACTAACTAGTAATCCTGAAGGCTAAAGCAAAAGATGAGGATAAAAGAATACATTGCACCAGGAATAGCAGCAGACATAAAAAGAATAAGTGGCACTTCTTTACAACTGGAAAGGAGAGCCTAGAACAGAGTTAGTTGTAAAATCCTGGCCAGCGGCCTATACTCCGTCCAGTAGAGGTAACAGGCGTTAGTAAGCAAGTAGTAAATATGTATACATGTAATGAGAATAAGTTTATTGGGTGAAAACGTCAATGAAAGCTGCTACCTTTTTGAGTGGTTGAACAATAATTATACCATAGCTTATTCCAAGAAATCCCAGTATGACACATCAAGAAAGAGCTTAAGTACTGTGCAAATTTCGTTGAAACGTTCACTCTCTGTGTACTAGATCATTGCAAACATAACCAAAATGTTGATAACCTGCTACAGTTTTTTTACTGCATTCTTTATAAAAGTGAGATTATCACCCTTAAATTAAAATCATTCTCGACTGCAATTTCAACTGAACTGCATTTTTCAAAATACTATTCTGGTGTATTTATTTATAGATTAGAGGACTCTTACCTCCCTATCATCATATGTATGACTTCATTTGTGCGCTGAATAGGTTTTAAGCACTGGGGTGCTGAAGTTTATCTGCTTTAAATCCTAATGCGAACATAGTGGATGTATTTAGCTGTTTTAACGCTCGGAGTTTCCTCATCTTTACAAATGGGACGTTAATTTGCCTTAGACAAATATCTACACTCGATTCCTTCCCAGAGTCTATTCTACGAGACTTCAACACAACTCAGATCAAGAACACGTGATTAACCTGACTAGAATGTAAATATATCTCCACATCAAAAGCCGACAACAAGTCGACACAATCTAGCAACAATCAACAATAATAATAAGGATAGCAGAATTTGTAACTTATCTAATACCTGTTAGACTATCTACAATTTTGGCTAAGCAAACAACCAATCATTATCATTTTCGTCCACACTTCATTAGCTAAGAATAGTATTTTGTTCATCAGCTAGCTGAATTTATTTATTTAAAATAGTTCAGGGAAAATAAATATCCAGTTACTTAATTGTGTTCTTTGATCATTCTAAATTACCACCGTAAACTGTTTCGGTAGCTTTCGCCTAACTTTAAAAATAAAATAACTTTTACTATGATTTTCCCCCTAAGTTTCTAAATATATATGAATCGCTCTTACGTTCACACTTAAATTCATTAATCGACCGTTAGGAAATAATAGACTTTGGATTTTGTATTTATTTGCTCATATTAATAAAGATTGTTTTTGACACTGAAGAAATATATTTTTTCCCCAGATATGAACTATTTTCCCTAGTTGTCATCGTAGTTGAAATTGTTAAAACTAGGTCAGTAAGTATGAGATAGCTGAAATTATTTGGCTTATCTGTCCAATTAGAAATATATGAAACTCACCAGTTGATTTGTCAAAACAATAAGTACATAAAGAATTATTATTATGATGAAGTGAAAACAAAATTTTATCAGACAACATCAGAAAGCTGAATAAGACGATAAAAGTGTATTCTGTTAAAGGGAGTAAATGTATTAAATGTTTGGAACAATAGTTATAATTTTAGTATACTTGAATTATGAATACCATTTGAATTCACAATGTGGGTTTTATTCAAATAGTAGCAATAATTATTTAAGAAATTACAGTAGTGTGTAGAAAGACTTACCCATTTCAAGATATTCATCAAATAGTCCTTCATATGGTATTAATTTATAGTCTTCGATAAATATATGCGCTGAGCTCAGATCACTAGTTGAAGCAACATTCCTCTTATTTAATCCCTTTCGATATTTATGGAACCAAGCACGTAGTTTACTGTGTAATAATTCAAAGATGAATCAGCGAAATTTAATTTGTTTTTTTTTAGTTTTACAAATCATTCTTTCCAAACATTTTTAATAAATTAGATAAAAAGGAACTTAAACAAAAAAGTACCTGGACTGGGGAGTACACGTATTTCCTTGGCTTTGTACCGCTACAGTACAAACGAAGCTTGATCAAAACCCTTAGTTACCAAATACGCACTATGTGTTCTGCGGATATAGTTGAAGATGAGCTTAACACCTTGCATAATGCTCTTAGGGAGAACAGTTACCCTAGAACGTTTATAATTAAATATATGATCACGAAGGTGAAAATAGGCGAAATACAAACGGTGAAGAAAACATCTCTGTTCATGTACCTACAATTCAGAGAGGATGCAGCTAGTGAAATATTAACTCAGAGATTACGCAGGACAATACAAAAATCTTTTAACGTCGGAGAACTGCGATTAGTGTTTTCTACGCGCTCAGTGGTAACACCTTGGCTAAAAAATGAACTACCTAGAATGATCACCTCATTTTGTATTTATCAGTTTGGCTGCTCCTGTGGAGCAAGTTATATTGGTCGAAGTTCTAGGGATTTACATTTTCATGCTCGTGAACACCTCCTAGTGTTTCTAAACAAAGGTTTGATGAAGAAAGTGAACAGGTCGATATTGGACCATTCAGTACAAATTGGTCATAGTCCCAGCATAAACCAATGTTTTTCAATTATTTATGGGGTCAGTAAATTTTTGCCAAAACTTATCCTTCAAACGGCTGAAGGAGTAGCCATCCGGATGAAGAAACTGGAATTATGTGTACAGAATAACTATCTTCAACCACTAAACCTCCCTTGGCCAACCTCAAGGCCAATTAATCAGTAGTAATCTTAGCTATTGAATAACCTAATTTAACGTTTGTAATTACGACTTTTCGTAGTCAAATGCAATTGTCTCTGTTATCTTTATTCACAAATCTTTGTATTATTATTATTATTATTATTATTATTATTATCGGTTAAACATCATTATTGATCTCCCCTATAAAGTGGTTCATTCACTCCGCATTCATCCCTCCCTTATAAGTCTTACTAATTTTTCACACAGTATAGCCCTCCAATAAATATTTGACCGAATTGTAATTGCACTATTATTTCGCTCACCCTATCTGACCCATATTTATTCTGATCGTGGATCTTAAATTTCCACTTAACATATACACAGATTCAAGTTAACATTCTATATGAGTCATATCAACATGTTTTGTTTAACAATCTTAAATTGACATGCTTTAAACGATGTACTTTGCCCCTAACTTGACCATTTATCGGATTATTAATTTGTATATATAATTGTAGAACCTGAAGAGAATTTATCGAAAAGAATATTCTTCGTTTAAATATTATTCTGTTAATATGATGGAGATCTTTAAACAATCAGATAAATGATAAATAGTGGTTCATAGTGGTTCCAGATCTAACCATTTATCCTAAATCTTCATTTACTTATTTTTCTTGTAAATTGTTTAGTTTTTTTCAGTAGAAGCTTACAGATAATAAAGCCGTTGAAATTTGTGAATTTACATTTTAAAATTACGTTGAACTAGGTTTATAAGGTTTAGTAGTTAAAAGTTAAGTGATCACAATCATTTCTACATTTGTGTTATAGTGAGAATTTTCATCCCAGTAAATGAGAAACAGTTTGGATATACTTTGAAAATCATATTTTTTCACAAATAACAAACTATTCTCATCATTACTGTAGACTATAACATAATCCTTCAAATCTGATTAATTTCTAAGATGATATCATTATAAAAAAATAAACCATAGACAATGCTTTCTATTAATGAACAAGCGTTTTACTTATAGACGTAAAAGTTACAGCTATTTCAATATGTTTATTCGTGTCTCCTCCTTTCAATAAACTTAACTTTAATTATAAAACTTTAGCAGAGTTCACATCAGTAACTCAACATGATGTGTAGAAAAGTATTGCTAGATCTATCAGTGTTAAATTTTGGTCCAATGTTAAGTATCATTTATTACAATTATCAGCCTTATTGTATGATATTGCGAAAGGTTCATTTCATTGATTGACTTAACTATAAATTACATTTTACCTGAAACTAATCTGTAAATTTTATGGCTAGTATCCCTTTGGGCTTCAGTTTAAAACTATAAATCTGAGTTCATCAACAAAATGATGATTTCATCATTGTATAATAACTTACGTAATTCAAAAAGTAGTCATCTAGACCGAGAATTACTGTCAAAAAATGTTTCAAAATATTGTGTACTCACGGAAGCAAAATTTCTTGACAATTACTAATGATTTGTTTCCCAACCATTATAACAAGTAATTGTTGGGCTAATTCAATCAAACAACCACCGTTATCGCATGCTTCGTTACGTAGGCCGAAAAAGGATGTGTAATGACCAGGATAACCAACCATTCTAGATTTAAAAATATGAATAATTTAATAAACCTTAAAAATACATTAAACTTCATTACTATGATGTAATACTACATTTACGATCAAATAACAATTTTTCCTAAACAAAGCAATACTGGTCTTAGAGGAAATATGATAACCAGTTACAAGGTAAGTTAAAATTGACCGTATGGTTTCATATTTTACTAAGAGATTCTGTAATTTTGCGATCAAATATATTTGGTTGTTCCCACTTATGTTTTCAGTGACGACATAAACTATTGATTTTAAGAAATCGATCAGCAGCCCATTATTATTGTAATAAATAAGACGTGGCAATGTTACGTTTTAAAAATAGTGAACTTTTGCATCTGTTACGACATAAATAATTCAGAACAATTAATGATAGTGTCACGTTATTGATAATATAATAGTAATACAATAAATCGTGTAAATAAATTGTCCCCTCAAATATTCTTTGTTTTTGAATTGAATAGGGTTTTAAAAGTGAGCTAACGTCTGAATGAGATCTTTTTACTATAAGTTCTAATTCATTGTAATGGTTTAGCTTCGATAATCAATCACCTCGATAACTGTTATTATATAAATCCCACGGTGTTCGAAATCAGAAGGCAATAAGAAGCGGCGAGTACAACTTATTTGCGGACAGCACAGATAACAAGGCTACAAGTACATCGAGCGGATTTGAAGCAGAGAGGCGAATGTGTGTATGCGAGCAAATACAGAGGTGAATTCATAGTGAAATCGAATAAGGCACAGCTAGGCAAGGCAAAGGCTAATAATAGGATTCGATTACATATATACATACGGAGGAGAACGATTCATCCGGCGATATTTAAGCTATCAACATTTAACCTAGAGAGAGATATGTACGTAGACTGTCATCTGATCAACAGTACACGTTTATACAGACAAGATAGAGATGATAATAGTACAGAGAAATAGACGAATTGTTACTGTTCGAATAACATAGTCTGTTAAGTAAGTTAATAAAAGGGCTTAACCAAAATTAACCATAATCGGGATTGATTGTAGGAGAGTTGCTGCACATCTGTACATATGTAAATATATTTTAATATCAATATGCAATTGAAACCTGTACATGTGGAAACATCGATAGTGTATTGTGTGATTGACTATTGCAATTGTCGTCGGTACTCGTCCGACGGATGAGATTGATATTGACGGTGAGTGAGTGTGCATGATATTGGGTGGAGAGAGTTGTTTGTTGGTTTTATTAGTATATTGTGTGTTATAATGTGATTGATTGCGGAAAAGTGAAGGGGGTACCCGGGTTCGAATCGGGGACCTCTCGATCTGCAGTCGAATGCTCTACCACTGAGCTATACCCCCGATTTCGCGACGGTCACAACTTCACTACCCGAACACAACACAACACAACACCACGTTCAACTATAAACACTACAATCAACGCACAACACCACCATCACCACAATCCCAACAAACATCCACACACAAACACTCACACGCATGCTTCGCCTGCACATGCAAACAATCTACCACAAAAACACGAAACACCAACACCAACATCAACATCAACAACAGCAAAAACAAAAACATCATTAACAAGAACACGTACATTCACACTGCCAACAACCAAGTCCATGAAGGTGTCGCGATGCAAATCCATGATGCGCATTCATACGCTCTCTGGACAAACGGAGTGCTCTCATCAAAGCCGACTGAACACAAACATCTGGTAGTCGGTGTTAGAGGCATGTGATTCCTCGAAGTCGGTCGAGACCTACAACAGTGTGTGAGGTCGCGAGTCAATCACCAAAAACACAATATCATATGATCGTCTCATCAACACACGTTTGGGTGTGATTGCGGGTGAGCTCGTTGATGAGCATTTTAATGTGTGTCTGTTCGTCGATGCCAAGTGGTACATGAGGAGGTTACAAACGAGTCGGTCGTGTATAGCATATTAGCAACAACAGCGAAAATGGCATAACCGATTTTTAGTCTTGAAATGGAAATCGTTATTATTATCATCAATTCCTACCAACAAAGAAAGGTACAGTTCCTCTGAGGAATAATGAAATTATAATTGTGTCTTAGAATAAACGGTTCCTAAATTTTTGAATATAAACCATAGTGTATTAAATCATTATTCTTGATTAAGTCATAACATTCTATCTTGGTTTTTTCGGTCTATTTTTTTAGTTTCAGATACGTTGAATATACAACTTCATCAAAAATATTATTCTCTTTAGAGCATGTCTTTGAAAAAAAAGTCAATTCAAAAATATACAACAACAACTCACTGTCCTTTGAAAAATGCTACATAGAATATGGATGAATAGAAATTCACAAATTGAAATAGAAAAACTTTAAAAATCAGCTGGTTGTCAAATTCACTTTGAGTTCGATGCATCTCTATAAAACAAAACAAAAATAAACGAATAAAACTGTATTTTCATTTTACTACTTAAAGTTTAAGGTTTCTAAAATAAGTTCTAAATCTTTACATGATATTAGATTTTGATGTTTCAATGATAAAATTCACTTTAATCTGATATACTATTTTGTTTCTTGAAAAGATACCATAAAACCTGTTATTAGTCAACCTTCAAAATGTTTGTTTAGTTTGACCCTTTCCCCCCTCCCTCTCTCTCTAATTAAACGAACCAATAATAAATAAACAACTCATTTACAGATATATATATATATATATATATATATATATATATATATATATAATATATATATATATATATATATATGAAAGGCGTTTTAACATAACTATGACTGCATCATACATCAACTAAAAATTATTCACTACATACATTTACAATCAATAAGAAAATATAATTTAAAGCAATTAGTCCCTTTTATGAATTTCACTAGAGCAATTAGAAGACGGATCAACTCCGTCTTTTTAGAAGAGAAAAAATTAATCTCTTGAACGCCTCATGATAACGATTAATCTTTTTCAGTAGCTGAATTCATGAAACGATTTAAGTAAGACCACCATTGAAAACCTGAAAGCACGCGAGACCGAAGGTCTTGGGTTCTAATCGCACGTGCGAGATCGTGGATTCTCACTGCAGAAGAGTCCCATACTAGGGCGAAACGGCCATTCAATGCTTCCAGGTTTTAATGGTGGTCTAGCTTACATCGACTCATGAATTCAACTATTAAAATACTAAAATCTTCACAGACCCCGTTCTAACCATAATATTTTTTGGTCAATATTTTGAATTTTATGTAGGCGAAAGATACTTTGAGAATTTACTGAATTGATTGAATTACATGCTGCATTCGTAAACATCTATTAGGATGATTAGGTAAAACCTTTCGATCAGCTTATTTCAACTATAAATCATAGAAAACATTGATTATAGTTTTACCGACCTTAGTACCGGAAAAAGCATATGTACATACAAAGTTTATCATGCAGACATGGTTTTTTTTTACAGAAGAACATGGTCTAAAGTCATCTTGTCTTAATTTTAAGAGTCCTACTTTAAGTAATACTATAATTTATTAATAACAATAAAGATAATACACCAAACAATTTAAACATCACATATGTAAAAAATAAATGTGTATCTCACCCCATTGAGTCATTTTGTAGGCTAATGTTTCATACACTTTCCCCAAACACATAATCAGAATAAGATTTACAATAGCTGCTGAAAGTGTTGCGTATATTTCTGCATTGGAACGAAGTAGTTTATTTTGAAATAATGGAATTTTTATTAAAAACCGATAAATAATTACAGCTACTATGAATACCAATACCAACATAACCTATGAATGACAAATTAAAAAAAGAGAAACATTTAGTCTTTAAAAGAAAAGGTTAGATTTTAACATTTGAAATAATTATTAAGGTAAGAGACTAAGTTAATCCACAATCGTTTGAATTATTAGTTTGGACTACTTTAGCCTTAATAACTGTCGGAATTGCCAGGGTACTCGCATTTTAGAATAGACTCATATGTGCAAAAACCACAGCAACTGAGTGTTTTGTAAAATATACTTTATCGTGTAGATTCCCTGGTTTATGATGCTGGATATTAACTGTTTCTTTGTGCATTTTGGACGTATATCCTAGTTGAGCGCCAACAAAGAGTACGGGTGAACTCAAAGTTATCTAGCTGGGAAACTGTGCTTAGTGGAGTGCCCCAGGGTACAGTTTTGGGGCCAGTGCTATTCCTCTTGTATGTAAATGACCTTCCTCGTCTCCTATCATCATCGGTCTTGCTATATGCTGACGATGTCAAGATATGGAGAACGATACGACGTGAGGGTGATAGCTTAGAACTCCAAAATGACCTGAAAAAATTATCTGAATGGTCTCAAACCTGGCAGTTGCCGATAAATACTTCCAAGTGTGTTGTGATGCATATCGGTCATCAAGGTACAGATGCATACACGATGAATAACACTGAGCTACCTGTCGTCCAGACATATCATGACTTAGGAGTCATCGTTAGCCAAGACTTAAAGACTACTGCACACTGCTGTGCAATTAACTGATTACAATGAATAATTGTAATGTTTATCAGTTTCAGAAAGCATTGTGATCATCTATATGAAAGCAAACACATGTGTTTTTTGTGTTCTCTCCTCATTGTAAATAAATATGTTGTAATTTCTCTGCTTGAAATCATAAACGCTAGGACTAGTTGGTAAATAATTTAGATTTTGCAATAAATGCTGTAATGTTAAAAATAAAAAATACGTGACTAGAAAATCGTTTGTTTAGTTTAATGTGTTTTTAAATTGTGTATTTTTAAACTTTATTTCATATTGAAACTCATTTGTAGATGGTGGTGGTCAGTGGTTTTTTCTGAAAGTGAAACAAATAATTTAAACAATTTAAATGTTACTAAGAGCATACAAGTACATTTGATTTACCTACTTGTATAAATTTGTTTAATTTTACCGCTGTTACTAGATAGTTTCCAGAGACTTATACATAATTTAAACTTCTATATAGTTGTCATCTGTTATAAAACAGATTAATAAAACTTAGTGATATTGTGGGGTGATGGATATCTGAATTACATAATACTCATTTGTATAGATTTATGTTCATATGAATCCAGAAGGACTCACATTAACATTATCCAAATGGCTCTATGGACTATAAGACTGATGAGTAACAGATATTCGAAAACTATGATATTTCTGAGGAAGAATGTATTTGTAAAATTTCAGCGAAAGAATTTGAAGTAAATCCAACGTTTCAACTGACAATCTGGTCCAAGCTTTTTCAAGGAAATACATTCTTCCTCTTTAATGTCTCACATTAACTCGGCGCCCAAATACTGTGAAACGATTCGATCAAATTTAGACGAAAGTTCTTATCTATGATATCTCTTTTTTCCCAAAGATTCTATTCTGTGGGCTGGGAAAACAGATTGGTAGAATAAAGTGGCTAAAAGTGTAATTTAAGTGTTTATCGGAATACGTTATTGCTCATACTTACTAACACATTCTTTATACACTATTTTAAATAAACTTATCAACCTAACCACATGTACACCCAGTTAGATTTATTTCCAAATGACATATGCAATCAAAATTCTACATTGTCGATTAAAAAAGAACAAGAGGGACTTTGTTACGTTTAGAAAGGTTGAGTGATAGGCTTTCTTTAGATCTTATTTTGTGAAGGTGAAACGGCATTTTTTAAATTAATATAAATTATTATAATTATCACTGTCTTTGCAAATGTAGTCATCATTAATAGACTACTCATAAACGTTTCAGCAGTCTAAAATACAAAACGAAATTTCTGACTAAACCAAGCTCATACGGAAATATATATTAAGTGAGTACGTCATTTAGGTTTCCATAAACTCACATTCAACGTATAAACATTGGGAATATGGGCTGATGTTAACCACAAAGTTTCCGTTTTCACTGATTGTGTTTTATTCAGCACATCATACTATTCTTCTGTTCCTTTGGTCAGTGAGTGATAAATAATGAGGTGTGATTTCCTTAAATATTTCATTTCACAGCCCCAACTTTCACCATATTTGTGTTTTTTACTCTAAATGTCGATCTCTCCCATACCGGAATTATCCAAGGCACACAGTATTAGATAGCTCAACCAAATATGTCTTCATTCTGATAGCAATCATGTGCTCACTGATGATTAGCATCAATATATATTTCCTGGAGTTCTAATGAGTGGAGGTGACCACTAAAGTCCAATCCGTGTCGGGTGTAAAACAGTTATCCACCTTAGACAATGGACCAAGGATTGCGCAAGATCATAGATCTATTGAAGTTAGGCATTAATACTGTTGGATCCCAGCTCAGTGATCTAAAAGTTAAGAGTTCGCAGGCGAGACTGAAGATTTATGTTCGAGTCACGTGTGTGAGGTCGTGGATGTGCACTGCTGAGGCGTTCCATACTAGGACAAAACGAACGTTTAGTGCTTTTAGGTTTTCACTGGTGGTCTAGCTTACATCGACTCATGGATTCAACTGTTTAATTTATGACTTCATTTTTTCGGACAGAGGCGCGAACAATGGTCATAAAACGTTTAATGAATATAATGTAGTAGAAACCAACTATATCGTCTTTAAATTAATTCTTGTCTGTGAAAATACACTTGTCCAATCCCTGTCTACATTGTTTATAGGACTCATGGAAGTATTTATCAGTCAAGCTCTTTGGGTGACCCATCGTTTTTACAAAATTCCAGATGGCCGAAAGCTATCTTTTCAAGTCTAGTTCATCAGTAATCGATGGGATTTTGAGTCAGAGGTTCGAAAACACTAGAAAAGTGAAATCATTGACGCATTTATCAATACAAGGGAGAAATCATCATCATGACCTTAGATAATATTTGCGATCTTGAAAATAGATATTTTTTCTAATGAATCAACAGTGCTTAGAGTGATGGGTTTCTGTCTAATTGCACAAAACTAGGGGAATAGGTTTGGAATTGTCTTATTGGTTTGTAATCAAGCACTTAGATCAGTGATGGGAGTGGTGATGCAAGCTGAGTTACATAAATGACTTCAGTAACAAACATAATTTCACTGTTTTTCTCAATGGATCATTTTAGATTATATTGACTTAAGATGGGAAACTTCATAGAAAGAATTCAGTCAATAAACGAAAATGACAGTGGTTACTATTCAATGACCAACTAATGTAAATATCACAGACTACGGCATGGGATGATATTGGCTCGAATTCTACAGAGAAAATCAGCTCTTTCATGGTTGCAGATGCATCTTGAAGACCGATGACAACTAGTATGAAACGTAGAATTATGATTTCCTGTTGATCACCTGTTAGTTTTACACTTTTACCTAATTAATTGTTCTAGTTTTGTAAAACATTTAATAATATGTTATGAGTGAACAAAATTTTGTAGTATGGTAGGAAGAATAAAGCAAAGACTATTGACGAAGGTTTGTTATACCCCAGAAATAGATTAAAAGCATGTGTGAATGCACTTCATATAATTTATTTTATTTGGTTAATTGTGATATTTTGGATAAATTCAACTGAGTTGAGCTTAGTACACAATAATCAATAACTTATAGTATGAACATTATTTGCAAATATATTAAGGTTGAAAATTTGTGATTCACATGTGGAATCGACTAATTGAGTTATTTGTTTATTCGTTGTCAACACAACCTTTTTACATTTTGAGTACATGTAAAGGGGTTTGTTGGAAATCAACATGTATAGCCGTTCTCCTTCTTCATAATAACATCACATTATTGCCTATTGTCATGTGCATAGAAACAATCTAAAGACAGATTCATACTAACTTACTGCTATATCTTCAAATGTAATAGGTTAGATTTTATGGGAAAAAATCGAAATAGTACAACAGAACGTTACGAAGAATTAATTGTAACATATGAAGGGAACAATATCTTACCATCACCATGACACAAATCAATCCAGCAATAATACGAGCAACACGAGCACGAGGAGGAAAATATGGTTCAAGAACATCCGTAATGGGATTTTTTGCATATTGTGTACAGTGGGCAGAGTATTGTGGGCGCGGTCGTTCTTCTTCGATTTCATAATCCAGCACATCCCATCGATGAGCTAATTTAGCATTTTTACGCTTCCAATACTCTAAATATGTAACACCTACGAAAACAGAGTGATTGATATAAAGTTCATAAATATAAAATATTAAATTAGTATTTTGTTCTTACAATTTTGTCAATAATTCACCCAAATCACATTGTTTTAAATGATTTTATCAAATGCCCATCTTAATACAACATGTGATATAACCTAACAATCTCGCGAAATCTTGACTCGTGCCAAAGAACATATTAGATACACAAAGAAACCTCCTAAGAATCCCGTAGAATTGGATAGACTTCAAATTAAATCGGCAGTAGCAGTTCACGCCATTTCCAACGATCACCAAATCGACGTCAATAATATCGAAATATTGCAAAAAGGCTTTTCCAATTACAAGGAAAGGAGAGTAGCTGAAGTGTTCCATATAATGCTTAATCTTACTGCTCTTAATAGAAAAGAAGGCCTTACCATACATCCTACTTGGACTATCTATCATAGCCACCTAGTCTGATGCTATTCACAATTCACACTATGATTTTACAAATTAAACTATCCTTTATCACCATAAAGATCACACATTTTTCATCCTTAACAGTTCACACTCACTTATACACAACTTTACATACATGTCGCTTATGAATCACCTTGACCGAAATGACATGACATTGATTTATTCAGACCTGTTTTTTGATTGATCACATAATATTCTTGTTGTTCCGTTGTACTGTTTAAACTTGGATTAATTTAGCTTGGTCATTCATTCTCTGAAGAAGTGGCTTACACGTAGTCACGAAACGTCAGAAAACCTATTTTTTCTACTAATTACTTATTATAAATATATTATTCATTTATAACAATCAACCCAATGCTCAATTTATTTGAAATTATCAAGCCAAACCTTGATAATGATACCTGCAAACTCATGTTATTATTTCACAGGTTGAAATCATGAGTCAATTGAAACTATTAAATCTTAAAAAATAATTATATATTAGGCTCTATGGTTGGCCTATGGTAACTGCTATTTACAAACCGCTGAGGATTCTTATAGCACGAGCGAGAACTAATATGACCTCGATTAGACAGGATGTCTGTCACACAACAACACTTCAACATTACTAATATATACACTAATATGAGATAAAGAAGACGTAGCTTCTCGAAGATCTTCGTTCCCGTAGATGTCTGGTTGCTTAAGAAAATCAACTTCTGCCAAAAAATTAATGTCAACAAATATTACTCTGAATAAACATTTAGATCGACTACTCAGTTCACACAAAAGTCAACCGTTTTAATGATGATTGAAATTGCTTTTACTCCTTTAATCTTGTCCTGAATGTAACCTGTTAAAATTCTATCAATTTGTAGCTATTCAACTATTCGTGTGTTAGATTTTGTTATATGAGACTATGTACTCAGAGAAACCACTGTATTAGTCATAATGAAATTATTCAATTCATTTCTTTCATCAAGCCTATCAACTCATTAAATAAATGTTTACTTAGTTTCTGATCCCTAAGAATACATAAATCTTATAATCCCAGACACGAATTTTTCATTCTGTACAAGAACTCTTTCAAGATAGTGAAGAAGATTTGTAGCTCAGGTGGATAATTTTGATGGAGTTTTGTTATTTGAGCTGGATGGTTTGGCTATGGAGCTTTCATCGACAAAACCAACCAGTTCAGAGAATGAAACTCTATCAAAAAGAATTTTTTTGAAAATCTAGTTATATGTACGAAAGAATCTTGAAATTACTTAACTAGTTACAAACATTAATTCTCATATACAATCAACAATATTACATATGAGGAAAAAAAATCCCGAGTTACGTACCCCAAATTACCATAAAAATAGCGTAGAATACAGAACCAGGATGGTCGAATAAATAGGACATTTTCAAGTAGAAACATAACTCTCGTAAATTCCAATATCGACACCCGTGGGTGATATCACAAGTTGGACACATAACTGTGTCTCGTTCACAAGCTTCTTTCCTGTCAATAATTAAACAATTAAGGGAATGTAGGCAGGGTTTTTTTTATTTGTTGGGTATATTAGTAATTGCTAAATGGTATTATTGGTACACTGCGAATTGCAGTGTTCATTGAAGATATGTTTAACTGTGACAAAGAAAGGTGAACTGAAATTCGACAAAAATGAATATCTACTGAATTTTTAAGAGCAGATTTTAAAAAGTGATATTAATTTACAGTTTATTTAAGAGTCAGACACGTTTGAAAAGACTAAACTAAATAATCGGTCTGTTCTACAACGAAAATCAATTTCATTTTTATCTTTTAATGGATGATGAATGTAATTAAATAGGATATTAATTGTATGTTATCATATAGTATATTAGTTATTGGTTTCAATTTTACATCTTATCCATATAATGACTTTCATTAACCTCATTTCCGAAGGGATCAATTCAAAGCATGGGACGAACGTTCTAAGGTTTTTAATTATCAACCTTATTTAAAAATTATCATCCATTTACATAAACTCTAAACGACATTATTAAATCTTTCATTTGTCCCCTAGGGATGATCGTGAATTAATTAGACTGAATTATAAAACTTTATCGTAATTCTAGTTGTTTAATTGACTGTACTCTTAACTGAAATGTCAAGAAATTTAAACTTGCTTCAAATAATCTTACTGTCGTATTTTTCCGGAAAACCATTTCAAAACACCAATCAGTAATAATACTACTAACCATCTTCTGAAGATATAAACTTATTTTCAGAATGGGAGTTAGTAGTAATTTCAATAGTTGAATTCATTAGTCGATGTAAGCTAGACCACTAGTGAAAACCTGAAAGCACTAGACGGTTGTTTCGTCCTAGTATGGGACTCACCATCAGTGCACATATACGATCTCACACACGTGACTCGAACATAAATCTTCGGTTTCACGCACGAACTCTTAACCTCTAGATCACTGAGCTGGCATTCAACAGTATTAATGTCTAGCTTCAATCGATCCATGATCTTGCGCAATCCTTTATCCATTGACAAGTAAATTTTGCTAAAGATAGGTTATATCGTTTGACGAATCAAAGTTATACTGATGAAGTTCATCAAAATGCTATTTTCCACAAAATTCCGTAAACAGTTTAGGTTCCGAGAATGCATATTCTTTTTCTATCCCAAACTTTATATCTAACCTGTTCACTTTAATATTCTGACGTCATCAAAGTCTCGATCAGATATACCTAACCTGCAATACTTCTAAATTGTTCAACATTTATTTAATTTACCGTCAGTTGACGAATAATGAATAGTGTTTTAACACCATAAAAACATAAAAATAAAAGTATTACGAACAATCATTCATCATCTGAAATTTCCTTTGTAGAGAACGTTTTCTAAATAATGTAAGAGAAGATTGCCTATTATTTAGTTGGAAATATTTTAAAATCTTGTTAAACAAATACAGTGATACGAAGTATAAATGTAATCGTGAGATCTCTGATATACTGACTCATTGTTATTTTAGTCACTCATCATGAGTGTCATAGAGAATAGAAAACTGACCAACAACTGAAGTAGGTGTTTAAGTACGTACTTACGCTTGTTATCCTTCGTGGATTGGCATAGGCTGTCCATCAGCACTCTCCATCCAACCCTGTCCTGGGCAATCCTTTCCAGTTCTTTTCAATTGCTATTCATCTTTTTCTTGTCTGCTTCCAATTCTCAACGTAGTGTCTTCTTTATTCTTCCTCTTTTCCGTTTCTCTTCAGGATTATAGGCAAGCACTTGCCTCGTAATGTAGTTTGGTGATTTCCTCAATGTGTGTCCTATCCACTTCTGACGTCTTTTCCAAATTTCCTCCACAGCTGAAACCTGATTTGTTCACTCCCACAATAGGCTGTTGCTGATGTTATCCCGTCGGCGAATATTGAGTATCTTGAATAGAAAATTGTCGTATAAATACTTGTACCTTCTTGATGATGGTTGTAGTAGTTCTCCAAGTTTCAGCTCCGTGTAGTAGAACTGTCTTGACGTTCGTACTGAAGATTCTGACTTTGATCTTGGTTGACAGCCGTATCGAGTTTCATATTATTATTATTGGCAGTGAATAGCTGATGCTGAATAATTTTAAAGTGTAAATAGCTAACCACTAACAAGTGGTTTATGCTGTTTCTATGATATTAATTTATAATGTAAAAGTATTTCTGTGGATAAACGTTGTAATAGATAACATTTATATCTAATCAATACTTACACAGGAACATAATCATTTATAGTTACAAGTCCATATATGAAAACAAAGATCCCGACCAATGCAGCTGGTAATAACCATGCAGTGTATAAACCTATGAATAAATTAATATAATGTAAATAATATTATAAAATAATTTAATGCTAAAGATACTATTTCAATCCTTGCTATTAGTGATAACATTTCCATATAGGCATTGAGAACTAATAATTCACCTTAGAAAAACATTTTCCATTGTGTCATTGAATAAAAATGAATAGAATTCAATGAAGAAAATCTTATTTTCGATGAAATCATTTACTTAAGCTGTACATTTTGTATTTGTAGTTGTATGGTAGAAACATTTCTATAGAAGAACAGAAAAGATTGCATCCTAGAGTGATTTGAGATTTCAAATATTAAATGCGGTTGCGTAATCATCATGGGGTTAGAGGAGAATACGAGGATGAAAATAATTTACTAGTCAGAATTCTGAAAGATAATTGTCCATTTGACAGATATGAAGAAAAATGAAAGAAAAACATTAAGGTTATAATAACTATTGAATAATGATCACAGAAAATTGTTAGAGGATAATAATAACTGATTACAGTTTAAAGTCACAAGACAGTAATAAAAACAAACAAGATTAAAACATACTGAAGAAGGAACTAGGGTCAATAAAGAAGGAGAGGTTGGACGTATCGTTTTTTACAGAGTTCGGGCTTGAATCAGTGGATCACCAACGCCTCAGCAGCGCATACTTTATTAATTCGGCCTGACTTTCATTCAGTTCCTTTGATTGTGTAGATTGTTTTAAAGGAAGCTTCCTGTAGAGCGACGTGTCCAGAGTTCATTAGGTACTGCTGTATTGAACTAGTGATTGTTTTGGATTCTCCTTTTAAAGGCTACACCAGCTGATGTTCTGATATGCTTTTCGAAAGTGGTCGCTTTAGGCTGCCAATGTAACCTGTTTTACAGCAACAAGCAAGCTGATAGATACACATCGATGTGACCCAAAGCGGGGGTTCATCCTTAACATATACGTGAATGGTAGGGTGGCTTGAGAAGGCAATACGAAGCTTGGCTAAATGAAAAGTTTTATCCAGGGCTTTTGAAATCCGTTTATTCAAAATTTCAGCAGCCATATTTCCTTCAAATTCGATATTCATAAAACGAGTTTTCATTTGAACTGTTTGCGCTTTTTCCGGATGTTTTCTAGGTGTTAATTTCCTAGAGACATATCTAGGTGGATAACCATTTCTGACGATTATCTATCGAAGCTGAGGTAGTTCGTCATCTATTGTTTCACCAGAAGTCCACATAGTCTTGGTAAAGCGAAACACGATGGTCTAAGATGTTCATAAAGGTCACAATTCGTAATGGACTCATCTTTCTTAAGATTTTGGTTAACATCAGTTCTATTTTCTCAGCTGCGTCTTCTTAAATAGTTTCTTAAAGAAATTAACAGCGTCTGATAATATCCATTTGGATAATTCCCGTATCTTTATCTGAGCGACAGAGAGCTAAATCCTCATTTCTCAGAAGATCGAATAATTAAGATTTATGTTCTTTGATGATTAATCGCCCAATTGTAAGTATTGTATTCACATTACTGATTGTAAGAGTCTACAAGAGTTGTTTTGAAATGTTCATAATCTTTATTAGATATGAGGGTAAGATTACTTGTCTGATGAATGAGGCTTTCATACTAAATTTTAGCGTTGGGCTGATTAATGTTAGTTGACCTTTATATTTTTCGTTTTTCTATCAAGTGCACAATTATCTTTCAGAATTCTGACTAGTAAATTATTTTCATCCTCGTATTCTCCTCTAACCCCATGATGATTACGCAACCGCATTTAATATTTGAAATCTCAAATCACTATAGGATGCAATCTTTTTTGTTCTTCTATAGACATATTTTTACCATACAACTACAAATACAAAATGTACAGCTTAAGTAAATGATTTTGTTGAAAATAAAATTTTCTTAGATTTTTTGTTAGATATCAGATATTGTCAACAATTTATTACAATCAGACGATGACTATATGTACAACTAACTATCTTTCCAACGTGTATTTCAGTTAGCAATTGGGAAATTTCATATTCAGTCACAAATTGATATCATTCACAATTAATATCGAACTTTTATAATTCAATGACATAAGAAGTTAAAAGGTGTTATATCATTGATACTCTTAATATTGTATATTTTTGTTCTTTTTAGATACACTAAGGTTCATTTTTACACTATAAGTAATGAGCTATCAGTATGATAGTAAAGCTTACTTTGCATCATCTTTTGATATAATGGTAAAATACTTAACGGAAGTCAGAAATTCACTTGGTATTGTTTGGCTTGTATCTTCCCATTGAGGTTTAAGACTGCAAATTAAGACTGCAGTCTGTTATTGGCATATGTGCATACAATAACAAGTGAATTTAAATTCACCCCATTGCACAAGCAAGTGGCTATCAGGACTCAGTAGTTGAGTGGATAACGCTATGGCGTTTGAAGCGAGTGATACTTGGTTCGAGTCCCAGAGTGATCATTAACACTGAGATGCATGTACAACCAGCTGACGAGTCCCAGATAGGAAGGAACGCGCATCCTGGATTTTACTGCTAGCCACTATACATCATTGCTTACAAGAAGTCAGAAATCTTTGCATCTTTACATTACTTTATATAATTGTTAACGGTAATTTCTGATATCTTCATAATGAAATGATATCCAATATATTTTTGTAAGTAAATTATATAAATTATTTAAACATTCATTCTTTTTTAAAAAGTGAGTTTTGAAGTTTGTGACTTCGTTAGAGGAATTTTCAAAATAATAAATAAATCGTACTGTTTTCGGATCTGGTACTGATACACATTTTTTTCATAAGCGTGACAAATCTAGTTGACTGAATGTGAAGACAGAGTGAAAAAAGACTTATTTACTAAATCACTCTAGATATAAGCAGTCTTTATTATTCAGTCAGTATTTCAATAAATGCTGTGAACTGCAATGTAACTGTCATTGAAATTCGACTAAAGATTTGATTCTTCATCATTATCTTATTTTTATGTTAGTGATTATTTTATCTGCTGAAGTGAATAAGTATTTACTCAATGATCCCAAAATCACTATTTTATCTTTCTTCATCCCAGTTTAGAGTTTTTCACTTTACATCTTTGCTTAAATAGCTATGGATTTTCCAATTATAATGCATGTTAATCATTAACTGTTTGGTGAGAGAAGTTGATATACAATGAATAATATATGTTTAATTCATGAAAATAAACTTACCAAGCCAAGCGAAATAAAAACCAATTTTTTCTCCAAAATAATATCTGATATGATCCAGAGGTTGATATCTATACCAACAACCCCATCTTGCCCAATACCAATATAAAATTTGACGTGGATTCATTTTTTCTGGATTTTTTAAATCCTCTTCATCTACTTCATATGGACCCTATAATTAATCAAGAGATATATTACCCTTTGCTAGAACTAATGTTCATATTAAACTTTATTTAAATAAAAAATTATATCTACCACAAATTGGATTTCGTAAAAATTAAGTAATATTGTTTAAAATAGCTAAAGTGTGAGCGTCCGATTCATTCAACTAGTCAGTTTTGTGATGAATTTTATCAACTACTTTTTCCTATTCAGTTTTTATCTCCTGTAATATCGGACCAGAAGTGTTTCTAAATATCGAAATTTTCTTCATTATCTGTACAAGATGTTATTCGGTCGATTTTTTAAAAACGAACATACCTTTTATTTTTATCAGATTTAATGCATCAATATAGATAAATATTTCTGAAGCTACATAAGTGTTCAACTTCACTATAGGCAGAAATAAATAAGGATTACTTTTAAGTAATATCAGAAGGGGTTTTGTCACAATTGGTTGATCACTGGGTGGCGATCAATTTCATGCGTGTTTAGTCCCTATTAATGCAGATCGAATGCTTTCGACCAGGGAGCACCAATTCCCTCAAGATTGCAGGTACACCTTACTGACGAGTGCCAAGTAATTCGAAACCCGGATCCAGGGTTTCCTGCCGACCACCTCTAACCACAATCTAATATCGAAGGGGTTTTGTGGATATTATAGCAATTCCAATGGTTGAGACCATGAGTCAACTGAACCTAGATCACCATGGAAAACCTGTAAGTTAAAAAAATGTTTCCCGTAATATTTTGTTTAGTTATGGTACTATGGATAAATTAGGGACCTAAAGAGGGTATAATATGGTAACTTTATTTAACTAAATAAAAATATCACCATCATATACACTTTTATACAACAAGTAATTGAACATGTGATAACACAAAAATGTGCATGATAAACACGTGATTGCATGTTACATGAGTTCTTTTGAGAAAATAGGTAGTTACTATATATATAATATTATTATTATTATGAACCAAGAAGAATTGTAATGGTAATATGAATAACTGTATGGGTGTTTACATTTGAACCGATTACCTCATGAATCGCGTACGCAGCATTGTAAACCTCTTCTTGTATAAGACGATCGATTCCAACTTGTGCCTTTTCACGGCTCCCATATGCTTGAGTAGCTAAAATATCATATGCTACCTGATGTCTTTGAGTAGGGGTGAAATATGATTCTTGATTATCATGTCCAATGAATCTGAAACAGTATTGTAACACATATATGAGCGACAGACCTTATTTTAAATAAATTTTACCGACCTGTTATAAAAGAACTCCGCCCGGATAAAGAAGGAGGTTTGGGCGTGTGGTTAGCGACCCCATCCCGTAGAATACTAACTCGCTAAAAAACGCTAACCAGAAAAAATTATTCAAACCATTTGAACTCTGCCCTGGGAGTCAGATCTTGATTTAAAAGGGTTATGACGCCTCATGATGAAAGCCGAGCTCCTTTGGAAGTTACGAGGCCGATGCCCCTTCTGACAACCAGAGAAACCATTTATTTAGGTAAATGGAATGCTCGTACAATATGGGAGACCGGGAGAGTCTTCCAAATCGCTGCAGAAATGAGAAGATACAACCTAGAGGTACTTGGGATCAGTGAAACACATTGGACACAAGTTGGACAACGACGACTAACTACAGGAGAGCTCCTGTTATACTCCGGCCATGAAGAAGAAAATGCACCACATACACAAGGAGTTGCATCGATGCTGTCCAAACAAGCGCGAAATGCGCTTATAGGATGGGAATCTCATGGACCAAGGATCATCAAAGCCTCGTTCAAAACAAAGAAAGAGGGTATTTCAATGAACATCATCCAATGCTATGCGTCTACCAACGACTACAATGAAGACGCTAAAGATCAATTCTACAATAGGCTGCAGTCAATCGTCGAGAAGTGCCCAACAAAGGACCTGACCATTCTGATGGGAGATTTCAACGCCAAGGTTGGAACGGACAACACTGGATATGAAGACATCATGGGACGACACGGACTGGGAGAAAGAAACGAAAACGGTGAGCGATTTGCAAATCTATGTGCCTTCAATAAGCTGGTCATAGGCGGCACCATATTCCCACATAAACGCATTCAAAAAACCACATGGACTTCACCGGATCACTCTACACAAAACCAAATCGACCATATTTGCATCAACAAAACGTTCAGGAGGACTATAGAGGACGTGAGAACCAATAGAGGAGCTGAAATAGCATCAGATCATCACTTGCTGGTCGCCAAGATGAAATTGAAACTCAAGAAGCACTGGACAACGGGGCGGACAATATCACAAAAGTTCAATACGGCCTTTCTTCAGGATGCTGACAAGCTCAACAAATTCAAGATAGTCTTCAGCAATAAGTTCCAGGCTTTTCATGATCTACTCAATGGAGAGGAAACCACTATAGAGAGCAACTGGAAAGGGATAAAAGAGGCAATCGGAAAAGCAAGAGCAGTATATTTACAACTGAAGAACATCTGGAACTCAGAAAAACTGTCAACCAACACCAAGGTCAGGATTTTCAATACAAATGTCAAGACAGTTCTACTGTATGGGGCAGAAACCTGGAGAACTACGAAATCCACCACCCAGAAAATACAGGTGTTTATTAACAGTTGTCTACGCAAAATACTTCGGATCTGTTGGCCAGACACTATTAGCGACAACCGACTGTGGGAGAGAACAAACCAGATCCCAGAGGAGGAAGAAATCAGGAAGAAGCGCTGGAAGTGGATAGGACACACATTGAGGAAAGCACCCAATTGCGTCACAAGACAAGCCCTCACATAGAATCCTCAGGGTCAGAGGGAAAGAGGAAGATCAAAGACACATTACGTCGAGAAATGGAGACAGGCATGAAAAGAATGAACAAAAATTGGATAGAACTGGAAAGCAAGGCCTAGGACAAAGTGGGTATGAGAATGCTGGTCGGCGGCCTATGCTCCATTGGTAATGGCAGGCGTAAGTAAGTAGGTGAGTTATAAAAGAGTTATTTGCTGTAATGAGCCATTACAATCATGTGATTTTTAAGACCACTTTCATTTATCGTATACTAAACTTGTTACCTAGACCCTAGTTCTGAGGATCGCATAGTATCACTGTATTTTACAAGAAACGTGTAAATCAAGTCTGACTACGTGAATCTGTACTGTAGTGAATGAGTTTAATAAGAAAAAGCGATACCAAAACTAGTGAAAACTTGAGAGAATTTATAAAACAAATTGATGTCAATTATAATGTTTTACGACCTTATCACATAATTTTTCCAAGACATGTTGGTTGTAATCAGTTTGATTAATAAACACATAGTCACTATGGTGTCTTGAAAAATAATCGAACTTAGTATTTATTTTCAAAGTCTTTTGATAATTTCGTATCATCAACCAAAACGGTGGTTGTGCGCAAATTATGGATAAGCTAAAACATATAACATTTAAAACTTTAGAGAAATCATTTAATTAAAATATTGAAGTTGTAAATGAAGGATATCATATCAAAATAGAGGAAGCTTTCTCTGTTTTATATCAAGTTCTAAAGAATCTACCTCAAGGAGCTAGATTACTGTTGCTCTAAATAGCCGAAGCCATCTGGATCAACTCCAAAAAACCGAACTTATGTATCCAGAAAAGGTATATCCAGCCTCTATGCTTACCTGGGCCTATGACTGGATCAACGGATACCTAAACTGAATATTATAAACCTCTTACCACCTTTCTATTTTTTTAAAATTATATTTATCTTAATCTTCACATCCATCATTCCCGATTCACATGAATTCTTTTTTTATCGTAATTATCTTGATAACATCCTCCTTATTACATACCATATTCGCACAACAATATTATTATTACTTCACTTAACAAGATTAAATTCTCCTACTATGCATTTTATTCACATGATTTTTTATTTTCGTTATATTACTATTATACTTCACTTGGTGTTGTTTTGCTTGAATCTTCCCATTGAAGTTTAAGACTGCAATTGATGAGTCTATTATTGACATATGTTCACACTGCGCGGATGCCTCAATATTGCCTTAATTCACAAGCTTTATAAGCAAAGATGGATAGTGGCTAGCAGTGGAATCCATGACACGAGTTTCGTCCCATTTGGGACTCTTCAGCTGGATGTACCTGCATCTCAGAGTTGATGTTCACTCTGGGACTCAAAGAAAGTACCATTCGCTTCAAATGCCATCGCGTTATCCACTTAGCTACTGAGTCCTTATAGCCATTTGCAAATAAAAGACTGATCAATTGCAGTCTTAAACCTCAATGGGAAGATTTAAGTGATATAATGCCAAGCTACTTTAAATGCACCCCATCGCACAAGCAAGTGGCTATCAGAACTCAGTAGCTGAGTGTATAGTGCGATGGCGTTTGAAGCGAGTGGTACTTGGTTCGAGTCCCAGAGTGAACATCAACTCGGAGATGTAGATGCATCCAGCTGACGAGTCCCGAATGGGACGAAACTCGTGTCACGGATTCCACTGCTAGCCACTATCCATCTTTACTATTATACTCTTTGTGACTGGACACTTTACTAATCTTTATTAAACGACTTTTCTAATTTGCAAATAACACAATCGTGAAGTATACATACCGTAACTGGAGCAAATCTTCACCATTTTATTCATATAACATTGTCAAATTCATTAATACATGCCTTATTTAAGCTTCAGTAAAATATCATAATAATTATGGACTTATAACTGTCAAACCTGATGATGTGGTGATTGAAAACTATTGTTCGCTCAATTATTCTTCATTTTTGAATATTCTATAAGGATTTTTAAACTACTGAAATAAAATTTCGAAACTTTTACGACTAATTTCTATATGAAATCAGCTTCTAAGATTATTAGTTTTGTTTTTTATACGATACTTTTCAACTGTCTTGAATTACGATGAACAATATGTAATAATGAAGTCTGAAAATATTTGTTTAATATTCGAAGTATTTTTGTTTTCGATCTTCAATTGATTTAAAAGTAGTAAAAATCAACTAACTCGTTAGATTTTTTTTAGAAAAGAAAAGAAGTTTTAGTACGTAAACGGTACAGTCTACATGATTGATTATATGCTATGAGTTAAAAAAAGTTATTTAGTTTGATTAAATCGACACTTTTTCTACTCATGAGAGGCCGTGACCAATGGAGCTAATCCGCGTTGGGTAGAAACAGGTATCTACCTCAGTACAATGGAAGATGATCGCGCAATTTCGTGGATTAGTTGAGGTTAGACATTAACAACACTGGGTGCCGGCTCAGTGGTCTAGTTGGTTAAGCGCTTGGCGCGAGACTGACAGGTCCTGGGTTTGAGTCTCGCGAGGTGCGGGATCGTGAATGCGCACTGCTGGAGTCCCATAATAGGACGAAACGGCCGTCCAGTACTTCCAGGTTTTCAATGGTGGTCTAACATCAATCGGTTCATGGTGTAAACCAAAAATTTAACAATCTTCACAACCCCTAAACTGATATACTTATTGCTTAATCAGTATATTTACTAGAACAAATTCTGAAGTTATACATTTCAATGGTTATTTGTGATGCTGTACATACTTCACATATATCATTGATCTTAGTGTATTCTTAACCAAAATCAACTATGATAACAATATATATGATTGTAGAATTTTTGTGAACAGACTAAATCGTTAAAATAAAAATTTAACTTGATTAAATGGCTCATTTGTTTTTTTACATTCAACTATCATACTAGTTTTTATAATTCATAAAGTGAACTGTAGACCATGATGTAGTTTTAAAATTTCACTATAAGGTTTTGAAATATCATATTTACAAGTCTTTAAACTATAAAATGAAATCTCACTACAACATTTCAAATAGTTGATTGTCTACAGAGTAGATAAATTTTAAGAAGTCAAAATACACATAATCCTGAAATGTCACTTGAACAAGGTGGGAAATTTAAATAATGTAATGAACATTTAGGATAACCGAGTATTTTCTTGTTTGGTTTGTTTTTGTTGATAATGTTTGGCATGTGGTTTTGGGCTTTCACATTAATCAAGTTGTATTGTTTATATTTTTAATTTTAATGTAACGAATATATTTTTTTGAACCATTAAAATGATCAAGCTCTCACAATTGAATTTCAAACTGAAATATTGAGAGATACAATGAACACTACTGACCAATATCTTCTACTATACAGTCAAGGAATTTTCTCTTGTCCCTTTGTAGTTCTACTATTATGACTTATATTTTTGTGAATATATATATATAGCAGTATAAATCAATGAGACATACCAGATAGCGTGTGTGAGAGCACAGCAAAAAGAACTCGTTATCATATACGTTTCGTATGAATGTATGTTTTGTTTAGTATGAAAGTGAGCCCATAAATTCATTTTCAAATTCAATAAAGAAAAAAAACATATCAGTTATGTTCTCCGGTTTACTTGGTTTAGTTTTCGTCACTTAAATGGTGGTTCGAATACATTTTAAGATGAAAACTAACTAATGGAATGTTAAGTTACAATCCTAAATACTTAAACCAATTAATTACTAGGGTATTTTTCTTGAATATGGAATGAACAGCATATTGTCATTAATTTACAAACTTTGCTTTTTATCAGAAGGGGTCTTGTGAAGATTTTAGAAACTTCACTGATTGAAATCGTGAGTCGATTGAAGCTAGACCACCATGGAAAACCTGGAAGCACTGGATGGCCGTTTCATCCTAGTATGGGACTCCTCAGCAGTGCGCATCCACGATCCGGCACCCCGCGAGATTTGAACCCAGGACCCATCAGTCTCACGCCAGGTGCTTAACCAACTGGACCACCGACCTGGCATCCAACGGTGTTAATATCTAACTTCAACCAATCCACGAAGTTGCGCCACCGTAAACCATTGTCATCAGTTTGTTTTTGTTAATTTCCAACTGTTAAACACATTGTAGATAATTAATTTTCAACAAATCAATAAAAATAAATGCACAAGGTAAATAATTATTACGAAAATAAAATTACTCACTTTTCTAGTTTACTTTTCTTAAACGGACAAGTATAATATTCAGGTGGAGGATTTGGAACATTTTGCGCCATTATAGATGGAATCCCAATTGTTTTCAAAAGAATCTCAGACCAGTTTTTCATTTTAGTGTTTTGCACCTTGGGATATTTTGATAGTTCAAATATAAGTTTAAAAAGATATTGACAAAAAAACTTTGATTAGTTGGCTAGAGAAAAAATACAACCTCTACTAAGTATTTTTTTATCAAATTAGTATATTATCTCGTTGTTAACCGTGAAAATCATACTTATGCTGGAGATTTGTTCTCTGAGCTGGATAGTTTGGTCGTGGAGCTTTCATTGTTCTTCTGAACGACATCATCAGCACAAACTTCCACCTGAAGTTTGTCGTTCAGGAGAATGACGAAAGCTCCATGACCAAACCATCCATCTCAGAGAACGAAATTCCATCAAAATCATTCACTTGAGCTACAAATCTTCTTCAGCATCTCAAAATCTTGCTTATTTGGTCAAGTTGTGTATCTGAAATAACTCAGTGATAGGCATCATATTTAGTTGTGAGAATTTCGTTAAAACTACAACAAAGGTTATTCAGTTTCATTGGATTGATGTTAAACTAAAAACTATCACTAATTTTAACTTGCTAAGAAATTTTAACCCGAGTTTCTCAAAATCATTAAAATCACAGTTAATGATTGGTGTTACTAAGTGCTGAAGTGAGTTTCAGCATTTATAGAGCTAGAAAGATGGACATTTTTTCTAAAAGACATTAAGCATTGCACATTCAGAAATGTCACTAATCCTTAATGCTGATATTGAAGTGAACAGTATATGTTACGACATTATTTTCCATAAATATTAAAGCAGTCTTAGCATTTCATTTATTTTCATTTCCTAATAACTAAATTTGTTTTCGGCCAGTTATCTTTTACTTATATGCATCAAGGATATCCTGTAATACCTGATAAAGATAACTGCTATCAATGATTATTCTGTTTTAGAACTTGAGTGTTTATAATTGATCTTATGTACTTATTTGCTCTGAAATAAATAAAAAAATTTCCACCGTCAATGAGTAGATGCGGGGTAACAAATGTGATTTTCAGTAACACCTGATTTACAAACACTTTTGTTTCTTAAATAAACATGAAAACCCATAAAGTATGGGAAAATTTCTAACGACGTCTTTTATTTTTGTGTTTATTTCCAACGAGTATAGGTGTTAACTGGAGAATAGTTAAAAACTAAAATGTGGTGAATTTCTGTTTTATCCTAGACTGAGTAATCTCTTGATTTTAAAATCCAGATTTCGCATACGATTTAGGCAAATATCTTTGGGTCACTCATCAACTACGTTTGATTACTGAGTCATAATCGCAACAAAGCTGATCTATCATTCAATATTAATGATGGTACCAATTTACACTTGTAACTCTAGAAAATTCGGCCTCATATAAGCACTTCGTTTGAAATCGCATTACTGGTAGGCACTAGATAGACTGTTAATACTTCGTAATTATTTCGATGAGATAAAGAATAATTTTAATGAAATATTTATACATGCGTAGAGTGATCCAATTAACACTATCTCGGGATAAAATGTGGATCCTGATATAAATCAGAACATAAATTCTGAAAGCCTGAGTGTACACAGAGTGGGAACGGAGCTATTTTAATTTGGCCAGTAAATTTTAAGTTTAATGTGGTTCAAACGAAATGTATTATGAAACAACAAAATAAAACATCCTAATAAGTAACAGTTTTAAGACACTACACTGGAAAACTCGCCTAATATTTAACAATGAAATACGAACATTCCACATACTTCAAGAGGAGCTCGTAGGTTTAGACATTCAGCATGATGGCACATTAAGTCCCAAGGAATATGCAGCTTCAAATAATGAGTCATCAAGCTTTCGCTCTTGACATCCTCCTAAAAAGTAAAAGTGTCAACTAAATTTTTTGTAACGGAACGGATCAGGAAATAAATTACATATTTTTATTGGAATGAATGGTTGTGGCTGGTTTTTATTGCGAGCTACTCACTCAACTTGAAACTTAAAAATTTTATAAATTCTTTCATATTTCGGAACATTAGCTGGATTGACGTTACTTATTACGCTAAGTGAACGAATTTTCATTATTGATAAGTCATCCACTTGTATTGAGGGATGGGTCATTTTTTAATAGCCTTTCAAAACAATTAGTAAAGTGTACTTATTTATAAAAAAACGTAGTGAATTAATTTGCAAATATCTCAGCTCCGGCAGCTTCCAAACTAAAGGTTTCTAGACAACGTTTTTGATTTATTGTTACCCTCACTGTTACTGCTTGATTGTCATATAATATTTGTTGTTTTCTAAAGCTCAAATCAGTTTCCAAAGAGAATCGACTAAGGTTGATGAGATTTTATTTCCGTTATTTACAGCACCATTGAATAGATTATCCAATGTATATTTTCTGAAACTCTGTTCACAGTAGCACCAAAATACCTCTTCATGACAGGTTCATTTTAAGTCAAGTAATATTTACGCCACGATCCTATAAGGATGCTCGTTAATCAGTTTCAGTCCGTGGATAGTCTGAACTAACCTTATCATCCTTGAATTGTATGAAACTGCATTATTGTGTAAATAATCTGAATTTTGCCGACAATACTTGGTATTACACTGTTAAGTCATAAGGGATATTGATTGCATCAACAAAATTTAGAATGATTTCCATGAAATGATATTATCTCTTGCCTTCATAATTGGAAGCAATGTTTACTTCACCTCATTATTGCAATAAAAAACACTTGATTAATTCGAGTACGAGGAAATTTATCATACACAACAAGATGACATTTTTAAGATAATTAGAGAGCGAAAACTATATACTAGTTATGACAGTAAAAATGACGAATATTACATTCCTAAGAAGAATACAATCAAAGTAGATGGTTTTACTACCGATAGTACAATTTCCAATTCATGTATCGTAAAGCTACACATTACAAACAGATCTTCAGCAAAATGTGTTACTAATTATATCTGTTAATGTTTTGTACATACTTTTCATGACCCTTCCTAAGAAGTTATGATAAATGAACTCGCCACAACTATCTCTTTAAACCGATCGCTTCCACGCTTTTTTTTATTTCATTGTCAGAAAAAAGATTTCAAAGGAAATATTTTGATGATATCTTTAAATAAAATGCAATTTATCAAATTTAGTGTTCCATGATGAATTCAGTAGTAAATATATGACTTCTACACATACATCCATCCATTTTGTTGAACTTTCTCTTTGTTTACATTGTGCAAGTAATGCTTTAGATAGAGCCATCAAATTTGAGAGTCTTTATAAATCTTTAACTCAGAGAGTACGTTTTACAAACTTAACCCTCAATTGCTTTCATCGACGCACTATGTATCAGACTTGTTAAAGCCAAAAATGACCTAATACTATAGTTTATAGCTTCAGCTTGTAATGTGTTCAGGTTGAAGGACCCTAACATATATCAGTTGTTTTTATTAAAGTTGGAAAATGAATAGAATGTTACTATTTTCCTTCTCTACCTGACAACTTTAATTAATTAAAATCTAAAATTTTATTTTAAAATAGTATGAAAAGGAATGATAATATGGAGTAATTTCTGAATGTTACAACATCTATATATAATGACCATAAGACAATGAAAAAATTAGGGTTAAAAAGTTCAAATAAAAACAAATTCATATCTAAAACTCATATTAATGATTAGAATAAACAAAAATGACTTCGAATGTGATTTTTCTTATTATGACTAAAGCGTTTAATTATATCATGTTTATATTAATGGAATATCTTGGATTCATTTTTGTACTTTAGATTGGAAGTGTTTACAGATTATTCGAACTGATCCCATAGTTCAGAAATATTATTGAGATTTTAACACATTTTGTGTGAAGACTGAATATAAGCTTAACAAATGACCCATAAAAGATTAGATTTATTTACAAAATGCCAAACTAAGCGTCATTTGAGAGCTCAGAGAGGATTAGAACTGGTAACACTACTTCTAGAGCCTCTAGCTATCCAGTCATACAGTAATCTGATATGCATGGCAAATATATGACATAATAGTCAGGTTTTAATTTTACTGGCAGCTTAGTGGTTTACCTTTTAAATATCTAATCATCATGTTTACTTGTGTGTTGTTTTACCACGATAAAGTTTGTTGTCTGTAAAGGTATACGATACAGGATGGTGGCTAGCAGTGGAATCCAAGACGTGCGTTTTGTCCGATATTTGAACTCGTCAGCTGGATGTATCAGCATTCCAGAGTTGATGTTCAGTCCGGGACTCGAACTAGGTGTCCTTCACTCCGAACGCCGTAGCGTTATCTACTTAAATAGTATGAATTTTATCCGCTATTGTTGGCACAATCAGCAGCATAACCGTTTGGTTATTCCGGTAGTAATGACTATCTGAATAACTGACTTAAATGACATGACCGTTCTCCAAGTGTCAACCAATACCGAGTTGTCGAAATCCAAAATGTATCATAGCCTTTCCATAAACCATTTTGGAAATCATTCAAACGATAACTTTAAATTCATTTTGTATTGTTTGTATTATTCACCCAATTGCACAGGCTAGTAACTATCATGACTCAGTAGCATAGTGGGTGATGTAATGGCGTTTGAAGCGAATGATACTGGGTTTGAGTCCCAGAGTAAACATCAACCCTGAGATGCAGGTACATCCAGTTGGGGAGTTCGAAATTCGGACAAATGCACATCTTGGATTCCGCTGCTAGCCACTATCCATCTTTGATTATAATGCTTAATAAGCTCAAATATTTTTAAAGTTCATTAGTCAAATCCATGGTTTTGTTTTCTGATATTCATACAGACGACATTTGAGGAATCGTTTTCTGAATGAGGTATCCATCTGACAGCCTCAGGCTCTCCTGTATTTTACCAGTCATTTTCACTATTATAAAGTTCACTTAATTACTTATCACTCTGATACTTTGCTTTCATTTTCAATCTATCAAAGAATAAAAGACCTCACAATAGTTTGTTTTGTAAAAGCCAAAACTAATCGGATTAATTAATTGTTGTTGATTTTTGCACTTGATTAGTATACCATGTGATATGTTTAGTCCGTACTCTTATTGGAGATCGGAAACGGATTTTGTTTTGTCAATCCTGATTATGTTACGTATTTAAATCAAGTCCGTCAGGTTAAATATTTAAAAATTCCTTGTTATTACGCTTTCTATATCAAAAATCTTAATTTCACGTGTTTTACTTTATTTTATTCAACCAAGTCATCCAGTTAAATTCGACTTGTTAAAAAAAAAAATCCTTAGATCTTTTCAACCAAACAATTAAATGATAACGTAATGGAAAAGAAAACTTTTACTATACATAAAATGCTTCTTATTTCTAAGTACCGAAATCTATTTTGTCAAGCCATTTACCAATAGCGTATTTTAAAGTATACTAACATTTAATAGCTAGATTCATGAGTCATTTAAAGCTTGACCACCATGGAAAGCTGGAAGCATTGGACGGCCGTTTCGTCCATGCACGTGACTCCTCAGTATGCGCATCCACGATCCCGCCCCCCGCAAGATTCGAACCCAGGAATTATCAGTCTGGCACGCGAGCGCTTAACTATTAGACGTTTGAGCCGGCATCCAACGGTGTTAATGTCTAACTTCAACCAATTCACGAAATTGTGCCACCGCACACCATTGTCTTCAATGAGTAACTATCTCACAACAGATCTGGTTGAACTGCACTGGTCACAACTTCTCAATGAGCAGACGGGATCGTGGTTGCGCATTGCTGAGGAGTCTCATGCTAGGACGAAACGGTTATCCAGTGCCTCCAGGTTTTCCATGGTAGTCTAGCTTTAATTGACTCATCAATTCAACTATTAAATCATTAAAATCTCCACAAATTCCCCTTCTAGTACTAACATTTATTTATTGTCGTCGCTTGTTGTACCAATCGATATCCAACCTAAATGAGTGTTGTTATACAGAAGTTTGCGCAGAAATTTCAAAATACGAATGAAAACTGTAGAGAGGCAACAAATATGTGAAAAAATCTGAAAAATGTCACTTTATATATATATACGGATTTTGATTATTTTAGTAAATACAACTTCAATGAACATTTTTCAACTGTTGTTTGCAATTGAAGTAGTCTGATTAACCAATAAACTCATAATCTCAGATATAACATCGAAATAATATTGAAAAAAGACTGCATTATTTGTACGATAATAACAGATTGGCAGACGGAATGTAATAATATGCAAATGAAGATATCTTCTAACGTAGTTACATTTCTTATGCCGAGCTTTTGTGTATAAATTAATGAAATAAAAACTCGTAACGGTGGTTTCAAAACATAGAATTATTGCAGAAATACAATAAGGCAAAGTTTCAAACAATTCATTTTTTAATGGAACATTTATTTTATGTTCTTTTCAGTCATATGCATCCCTACAATACACTTGTAAGATTTATTTTGATAAATAACTAAACAATGATACATATATACAGCATATTTGATAAGAAACATTTGAAGCTGACCACCTATGCACTATCTCTTGTACTTATTAGCGTTTTTCCTCAGAAATCACATGACAATTCATATATTTATTGAAATGTCTAGATTCTAATCAACTGCCGAATGTTGTCGTTCGAACGCATTTTTTAATATTTGTGATTTCTGTTATGTAACTCTAGAATTTATAGTGCTGTATTGAGTGGTTTTTGAAAATCTCATCACCATATTAGATCAAAAAGCGCTATCATTATAAATCGACCTAACTATTTCAATAGCTCTGAAATTGCTGTTCAAACATATTTTTTTAATTGTTCAAATTAAATATTTAGTTTTAGGTGGATAATTCGCCCTATTTCGTAAACAAGGTGTTATGCGATTCAAAGGGTCAAATTGATTTGTGTACACTATTATATCAGATGAATAGCTACTTAGATCTTGCTTCGGGATTCATTACTGTATTGGTTAATTTCTATCTAGCAACTTCACTGATGATACTTTTCAGTCTGATTTATCCTCACTGCCAGAGAAAATAATATTGTTTGAGATGATCAGGACTACTAATTATAATTTTCATCATTTACTTGGAACCTGTGGATATATTGCTGGAAACTAACTTGAGTGATGCGTGTTACACGACCTAAATCAGTGTTTAAATTTTAGACTCAGCTTGGTATCAGTTAGTTCTACCGCACAGTTGAGTGAATAGATTACCATTTTACAACTGGTGATTATGATATTCAATGTACTGAATTAAAATTCCTAGGATTAAACTGTAATATTAATTTTAGCTGGAATGTTTTCGCCATTTTATCGAACGAACTCAATAGTAAGTAAGTAATCTGACCGAAATTTGTGCAATTTTCTAAAGGTTTAATTGTAAAGAGGAGTTCAACAACTGATGAGAAATGGTGTTTGACTCTTAAAAAAATATGAATTATTTATGTTGAGTAATCGGTAATCTTTGTTTAATCTATATAACCGTCAGAAAAGTTACATTTAAATGAAAATTAAACATGACGGTTACTTATTGATTGAAACATTAATGAAATTAAAATTTATTTCCTGACCTTATATATAAACATCACGTTTCATTGTTTGAGCAATGATTTATTGAAGAGAAAATTCCTTGTATCAAGGTATTATTATTAATTAGGTCGCAAGTTCCATATTATTTCCCTTAATCATTAAATTTGAGGGCAGATATCTTACTTCTCTTTTTATCTAGAGTAGAGAAATTTGGCTGAATACTTTTTTTAGTATTAAATAAGATTAGAAAAAACAAAATCTCAGTTGACTATGAAGAAATCAATTATTAGTTTGGAATTTTATTCACTATCAACCAAACGTACTTTCTCAATTTGTACTCCGATTGTTTGCAAATTATCTTCAAATGTCTTTCGATAAATACTATTGATTTTTTTCACTTTATTGATTATAGTTTCATTAACTGGTTCATCCCAAACTAAAACATAATCTTGGAAGGAAAAATATAACACGTAATGAAATACATAATCATTTATTAAATGTAATTTTGAAGTCAATTCTTTTGTATATAAAAATTTGTTGTTGTATAATTGATGAAAAACACATAAGTACAGCGCATCCACGATCCCGCCTCCTGCGAGATTCGGACCTAGAACTTATCAGCCTCGCGCGCGAGCGCTTAACCACTAGACCACTGAGCCGGCATCCAACGGTGTTAATGTTTAACTTCAACTAATCCATGAAATTTAGCGACACATCTACCATTGTCATCAGTGAGCTGATATCTCACAACAGACCTGGTTGAACTCCGATGGTCACTGCTTCTCACTAGAACTCCAGGAAATGCCTGTTGAATTCAGTCACCAGTGAGTAGATGATTATTATCAGAAGAGGTTTTGCGGAGATTAATTGATATTAATTTTGCCTAATTATAATCTATAGTTGATTATTTGAAAGACAATTACTATATTTCACTTAATCCACCTAAGGATTTGGATGGAAGTTATATTTTAAAACTCAAATCAAAATCTTGTGTAGTCATCGAAATCCAAGTATTTGTATCCTAGAAGCAAAATACTTATCGAAAACTTTTGATAACTTACTGTCTTATTTCTAACATCATTGACTCAAATGGTTATGATTTCTTATTACGGTTTTAATAAACCTTACCAAAACTAGTCACCAGTAAGCATATGGTCGGTATCGATTTTAAGACAATAATTACATTTCAATTACAAGAAACCTTTATAAAATTATCATCGTATGAAATAATTGTTGTAATATTTTTTTAATATCGAATAAAAGGTATCTGTACTTTGACAAATGTAATCACTTATAAATGATGATTTATCTCAGTGAAATAGACGCGATTATTCGTCTTGTAGATAAGATATAATGTTAAAAACTGTTTATTCAACATGTTTTCAACATTTGAATAAACAAACATGTTTCACTTCAGTGAATTTATTGAATGTTAGAATAAAACAAAGCTAGTGTAACTGTTTAACGAAAAAGTCTGCAAAGATATAAAAAAAGTGACTTGAAATAATACAAATGTTTTCCGTTTGTATGAATAATCATATGACTTATAAATAACATAGCGTTTGTGCTCATTGATTCAGAAGTCATGGCTTTGCTATGCTATATGAAACAAAAGTCTTCGGTACTGTTTATTTACTTACCATTTTAGAATCCAGATCTGTTCCCTGTGATAAGTCGGTGCTGTGAATTATGACGATATTCAGTAATTTGTTTTAGAACTATGGCCGTAAAATATGTATTTTGCAGCAAATTTCATTTCATAAGTTTTCTTAGATTTTGTGTAATCTTTATATTACAGAATCTGAGGATCGTATAATGTAACCATTTATTTAGAAATTTACTTATTTAACTATTGGGAACAACGATATCTGACATTAATCTCAATTAATACTAGTTTTATGAGGGTTTCAGATGTATCTATTAACATTGGATTATTTTTCATAAGTCAGACTGAAGTCTACGACAGTTTTATATGAAACAATGAAAACAATATGCAAGAGAAACCTAGAATTGTATTCATTCAAATTGTTATTTGCAATTTAAATATACAACCCATTAACTGACCAATTTTTCTTTTTCCATCATTAAAGTAATATCCAAAATCTGAGTGTATTTGACTCTGTGGAGAACAGGAAAAATAATGATGCATTAGATATCGGTAGTAAAAAACTCATAATTAGAGACGCGAATAGAGTTTATCGTAAAGAAATGATGTGAACTTATCGAAAAAAGAAGATAAATACCTGAATATGTTTCACTAAAATGATAGATCTTTTAGTCCACAAGAGTTTTTCAAAGTATAGATAATCTTAACTGAATATTAGAGTAATTCATTTTTGTATTAGTTGTTTGAATCTTCTCATTGATGTTTAGAACTGTAATTGATCAGTCTTTTATTAGAGCTCTTGTGTTTATTGATGTCTATCATTAAACTTGTTTTTGTCTTAACTATTACTAACATTGTCAATAGTCGATGTTTCAAAATCGAAATGTACGAAATATGTTATTTCTACTAAACGACAGACATAACAAAGCCGATTGATCCGAATGCATTTTAAATCTTTTACTGTTTCAGCTAGTGTGTATTAGCCATCCAGACTTGATTAAACTGGAGATGAATTATTGGCGAATCTTACGATGATAATTTATTTGGCGAGACTATAATTTATGGACGAAATGATCTGATTTATGATAACAGGTCTCGAATTTTTGTGCAGAATTCATTCATCCATTTGGCTAAATAGCGTTTTGGCGTTTAAGCTGATGTCAGTTCGTGATGAAAGTATTGAACCTAATGCCTAACCCCAACCTTAACCATAATCATTATCTTGATTACTCACACTGGTTCATAACCCTCATTTAACACTAGCAAGTAGGTGGACACATTAAACGTCACTTTAACGTCGCTCAAAGGTCGTCCATGAATTATTGTCACACCATTTATTTAACTACGAAGTTATTGAATTTTCAAACAATCTGGTCATTAATCTTAGTGTTACAGCTACAAATTCATTTACTTCTGATGGATTTCAATATTGATTTGGTGGGTTAGTATTAGATAAGCTCTAAGGTCATTTTATATAACTAGAGTAGTTGTATATGGGGATACGTTTCATATCGCCGATAGTCTTGTTCAGTAAAGAAGAAATAGTGAGAAATTATTGAAACCATTGTTCTAGTTTTCATTATGTTACACACAATAGGTGAATTAATTAATCCACTCTAAAAGATTCATTCTTGATTGAACTTCTGAAATAAACGATGTTTGTCAGAGTCAATAGGACTCTGAACATCAATTATTACTTTCAAGTATATGTATGGAAATATGGAATAATAAATAGTGACAGAGTAGTTATATTTAATTTTGGTTGAAGGTTTTCTGTAATCATTTATACTGTTGAGTATTACAAAAGTATTACATAGCATGATCCCTCATAAAAACACAAAATAACGTTTTTGGAGCTAACAATTCATTTCAAATCATAAAACTTCTAATGACTGAGTTACGAATTGACTCAATAGAATGGATTTCTATTGTGTTAATAATAACAGATTATATTGGATAAATGTTATCTGAACCAATTGAATTGTTTCTTAGCTTCTTATAACCTGGAATCAGGGTATATTCGCATAACATTATTCATGTTCATGAATAAATATTACTCATTACAACAACATAGTGCAACTACAGAAGTCAATCTGTACTTCCGGAAAGTAAAGTTGAAAATATAAAATATAAAACAGTAGAAAATATAAGCGGGCAAAAGTACTAACAAACTAAATGAATAAATGAGCGTATGAAATGGATAAGCTGGTGTGGAAAGAAAATATTAGTGACAGTAGTGAACTCGGTTTGTTTTAATACTTGGTTGAAAACTCTATACGATTGAATTACTTCTTTGAATTAAAAAATAATAATAATGTTTAATTAAATAAGATCTAGTCAAAAAAAGTGATACATAATGATGATATATAAACAATCAAATTTCTGAATTAGAACTTATTCTACAAAGTCAAATGTATGGGTTACTTTAAATGGTGCCTTCAACTAGGGAAAATGTTATAGTCAGTTCTCTACATCTAGTATTTATTTCATCATGTTATCTATTTTATGGTGATGAATGGCGAAATACAATCGGATGTGTAGTATCATACTCTATTTGTTATCTGTACTCTATAAGTAATGAACTAATGAACTATAATTAATTAAAGGTGAAAATTCCGAATATTTCTTTATTTTCTTAGTTGATCTTGTTTAAAAGACTAAATAACAATCATTAAATTTAATTAACAGAACAGGGAGATTTAAAGTAAAATGACCTCACTGGTAACTGTTCAGTTCATACAATCAATCATTAACAAATTCATTTTGTCAAATGTGGTTTGAATGTGTGTATTTACAAGTAATGGTTTCATTGTCTTAGAAAAGCAATACGTATATAAACGATTCTTTTATTCAGTATACAAAATATTTAAGTAGTATTTACTCATTACTCAAAAAAAGAAAGTGAGATTATATTTTAAAGCAAATCAAATGAGGATTTTACATAAAGGAGTCATTAATGAGTGGGTAGACATTTTAAAAATGGGTAAGATATTACTGATATAAGTTAAAGTAGGGTAAAGTTTAATACTCGATTTCGCAAAATAAAGTTATGAAACTCTACAGTAAGAAAATCAAAATGTGAAAAGCTAAAAAAAATATAAGTTATACCAATAGAAGTGATAAAGAAAACCAACTAGGTTTAATGCCAGCTTCGTGTTTTTGTGTGAAGTGTCATTGATGAGTTACGTAAAACTAAGCGAAACACCATTTTGGGCTTAGTTTGCCTGAATACAGTAATTAGTGACTATACATCTCGATATTTTCAAAATGTTTTTTTCCTCTACATTATCATTTATGTCACGAATAAGTATTGATGGTATGTTTAGCTTTTATTAAATAGGTTCAATGCTAGTACTCAAAGACTGACAACTGAAATAGTTAAACAAAATGACATCACATTTTGTTAAATTAATGTTCAGACCCCATGAAACAGAAATTGGATTGTAAAACATGTATCCTGTTCATTATGTTTGATTTCATTGTATAAAATGTCTAGACAAAAATAAACTATTTCATATCATATTCAATTTTATTATTCAGTGATTAAATGTTAGGTGTATTGTAAATCTATAGAAATATGAAGAATGGATATTATCTGATGTTGATTATTAGTTTTACTTTGCTATCATTTTGTATAAAATCATTTCTAAGCATTATCATTTGTGCAGCTATCTTAATTTAAAGTTATATAATCACTGAACGTATTTCTAAATTTGAATAGTTTATTCATTAAACACCATCAGTATATTACTACTTAAACTAGTGGTTTAAATGACCTTGTTTCATTAAATAAAGTTAAACATTATTACCGTTTGATACCGGCTCAGTGGTCTAGAAGTTAAGAGTTTGCACACGAGACCGAAAGTTCTGAGTTCAAATCCCGCGAGTGGGATCTTGAATGCGCACTATTGAGGAATTCTATACTAGGACGAAATGCCTGTCCAGTGCTTTCAGATTTTCCATAGTGATCTAGCTTTAATTGACTCATGAATTCAACTATTAAACCAACCATAATTAAATGAACTTGTGTTTACAAATATCCTTTCAACTTATTTGTTTTATGCAGTTCTTCCTGTTTAACATATTTGAATAAAGCAAGAAAAACAAACTTACCAGAATAATTATCATTCAATAATATTACATAAAATTGTATTAGGTTAAAGAGAATTTATAGAACAAGTGTATTCATATTAGTCTGCTACATATATTCTTGTTTTTTTCTTTACAAATTTCTTTCTTTCAATTTAATCATGCTAATAGAATATTACCATTTATGAAAATTCATCTACAATGAAAGTTTAGAAATAATCACCTTGTATTTGAAAATAATCCAGTTCCATTGAATCCTCATCAAAGCAGCACATACAAACCTTCCTATAGATGTCACTCCACTAACAACCCAAGAAATCAAGATGACCACTAGACAAATCAAGAGCGAGAAAGTAGCAGGACCTGATAATATACAAGTTGAAGCACTGAAGTCAGACACTGATGCAACTACAAACATGCTTCACCTTCTATTCAAGAAGATTTGGGAGGAGGAATAAGTGCCGACGGACTGGAAAGATGGATAGTTCATCAAGATTCCGAAGAAAGGAGACCTGAGAAAATGTGAAAACTACACGGGCATCACATTACTATCAGTACCGGGAAAAGTTTTCAACAGAATGTTGCTGAACCAGATGAACGACTCAGTAAACGCCAAACTTCGAGATCAACAGGGTGGTTCCGTAAGGATAGGTAATGCACAAACCAAACCGCGACACTACGTATCACCGTTGAACTCGTCACTATACATCAACGTCATAGACTATGAGAAGGCGTTTGGCACTGTGGACAGGAGAAAATTATGGAAACTTCTTTGACACTATGGAGTTTCTGAGAAGATTGTCAACATTATCCGGAACTCATACGACGGACTACAGTGAAAAGTGGTTCATGGAGGACAGCTGACAGGTGCATTCCAAGTAAAAACCGGAGTGAGATAAGGCCGTCTACTCTTCCCATTCCTCTTTCTTCTGGTGATCGACTAGATTATGATGACCTCGACATCTGGGGTAAAACACGGAATACAATGGACAGCTAAGAACCAGTTAGACGATTTGGACTTAGCAGATGACCTAGCCCTCCTATCGTATTCACACGAACAAATACAGAAGAAGACAGCTAGTGTAGCAGCAGTCTCTATATCAGCAGGCCTTAACATACACAAGGGGAAAACCAATATCCTCAAATACAACATGGAGAACACCAACCCGATCACTCTTAATGGAGAAGTTCTGGAAGAGGTGGAATCTTTCACGTACCTAGGAAGAATCAGTGATGGATAAGGGGGGATCCGATGCAGACGTAAATGCAATAATTGACAAAGTTAGGGCCGCATTCCTACAGTTTTAGAACATATGGAACTCGATACGGCTGTCAACCAATATCAAAGTCAGAATCTTCAATACGAACTTCAAGACAGTTCTACTATACGGAGCTGAAACTTGGAGAACTACTACAACCATCAT